GAATGATTATTTTGTACTTTTAATGCAGTTGCAAGGTACCTCTGTAATGCTTTGGGTATTCTAAGATTTTTTTTAAAAGAACAACCTGTACAAGGCCAGAGGCAGAGCAGACAGTCAGCAAAAAACACATTAAAGAGCTCATATTACATTATTTTATGATCTATGTTTCCTCATCACAGACAGACCTGGAGTTGTGTTTTGTTTCATTCACACAGATTTCACAAACAAACCCTCCATATTGAGGAAATAACAAGAGTATAACATAACTTAAAGCTCAAAGTTAATTGTGCGTAATATAGGACCTTTAAAGAACGACCTCCTGCACAGGGACAGCATGTGAGCAGAACGTGCAGTCAGTCAAAAGGCCCATTTAAATCAGATCCATTTTACTGAACAGTTACATTCACAGTACTGTATGACTTTTACCTTATCAAAACTATCATCTAAAGTGGTGGGAGTGGCCGACATGAATGTATATTACCCACAGTTGTGTCAATTGTGGTGAATTGAATGAGAGATGGTCATGCTATTTCTGTCCGCTGGTTCCTGGCTACATGCACATTCCCTAATTGGTGATTCTATCCTCTGCACGAGCAACAAGGCAGACGTGAGAAAACCACTTACCACAACAACCCACCGCTGCCACCGACAAGCAATTAAGATATCAGGATAAAGTGATGTGTGGGTGCACCTGTGAGCAAAATATACTCACATCAGCTCTGGCATGTGGGAATCCTATAGCAGACTTAAAGCAGGTCCTGGGAAACATAATGAAATATATCTTGAAGAGCAGATCTTATTATCTGTTTGTGTACAGTCTCGTACTTTGTGTTTGAAAGCATGCATGTATATATATATATATATATATATATATATATATATATATATATATATATATATATATATATATATATATCTATACTAACTAACTACATTTGGAAAGGTACTGATTTGGTAACATAGTCATTTTAATGCCCTAAACTTTTGTCTCACTAGAGCAGGAAGTGCCCATGACTCTTTAATACCAGCTCTGAAAATAACAGTATTATTTATAAAACGGTGCAACACTGCCCTCCAGTGGAGATGTGAATAAATGTTTAGGGAAATCAGGACAGTATCATACAGGTTGGATGAGTCTTAACATAGTAGTGGTAGGAAAATTATGCAAAATGTGTACTTCTTCCATGCTTGTCTGACAAAGATTACAGGTGCTTTGATTAAAGTGAAAAAAAGAAGTGAAAAATAGATTTGTGTTATTACATGCAGTCTAACGTGCCCCCTGAGAATAACCGACATACGGGGTCTCAATCCATTCTACATTTTCAGAACAGCCTAAGTGAAAATGCCCATTGATTGATCCAGACAGACCGCAATCATGCTCTCATCTGTGAGGTGCAGCGAGACGTAACTGACAGACAGCCTCAGTGTTCAAAACAAATATCACGTGTGAATGAAGCCACATTTTTCTCCTCATATCTTGTTTTGTTATTCATTACTTATTGAATTCTACTGACAGTAGTTTGGAATTGCTTTCGTGTTTTGTAATTGTACAAATAGAAAATTGGATGACCCTGAAGGAGCCTCTATTGTGTAAAGATTAAACACATTTTTATTCCGTTCACAAACTCTCAACTAAGGCTGAAGAGATTAAACTCAGTGCTAAATGAACGAAGGGGCACACAGAGAGGTAATTAATCATTTGTTGGGTCCCATTATTCCAGTGCTCCCTCTGCTCTGCTCATACTAGACCCTGCTCAAAAACATCTTGACATTTTTGTAATTACACCTATTGTCCCCCGTGCATCCACTCAGCAGCTGTTTACAGACTGATGAGGTCACATTGTCACAGGGCAAATATAATAGGATCATGCTTTCACTTATTGCATTCGCTACATTTGCACGACAGATCAATATTTTCAATTCTCTTGGATTTTACAGCTGCTTAATATAGGGGACACCGTCCATGTTAAATCTACAGCGTTGCCCAGTTACAAAATATGAATAGGCCTATGTTCTCCACTCTCACTTTCAGCTGTTGTCTTCAGTCACAATCTAATTTTCAGATGGAGGTCCGCCAAATGCTTTACTCCATGAAGATGTTTCTGCTTTGCCTGAATGTTCCACAGTAAAGCATTAAACACTGAAAGGGGTGATGTCACAAAGTCAAATTACAAGTCAGATTTGTGAAAAGAAATAATATAATAAAATAAAATAATAAAATAAATGCAAGATGTATGTACACTGGAAAACTATAGGCAAAGCGAAACATCTCTGGTGACAAGAAATAGTTGGAAAAGTTACATATCTTTAATCTTCTGCTGCTGTCAAACTGTAGAAAATCTTCTTCACTTACACCAACTATGTCTTGATATCAGCTGATCCACAAATCTCTTCTTCACTCTCCTTCTGCACTTGGCAACTAAAACCTTTCCTTCTAACCATCTAACCTAGGGGTCTCCAGCCTTTTTCCTCCGATGAGCTACCTTTACAACACGAAAATGCCAGAGAGCTACTAATTTTAGTGTTTGCAAGAAATGTAGTACATATAAGAGCCAGCGCGAGCCTTAAATGGGGTACAGTTAAATGTCTATAAAATCTAAACCATTATCCACATATTAGTGCACAAAGTCAGGCATAAAAATTATACATTTACCATGGTAGTTAATGGAATTTTAGTTTTTCAGCGAAATACATATAAATCATAAATCTCTTAGTGAGAGACGTGGAGAGCTACTGTTAGCTCCCAAGCTACAGGTTGGAGACACCGATCTAATCACTCAGCACAGTCTTACTCTTACTTACTTAAAGTTATACAGAAAATAATATGTGACTGATAAGGCTTGCTCAGTGCTCTCAGTGACATACAATTTTCACTCTTAAGTGATCAGTTCTCCTCCATTTCTGACGCAGAGGGACAAAGGATGGAGCCAAGTGTGTTGATCTAGATAGGGGTTAAGTGATTTGGTGTGTGTCAGAAATGGGCTAAAATTAGTTGTCATTTGTATCAGATTTGGCAGCTCTGGGAGTTCTAAACTTTAATAGTGTTTAAAACTCTGTGCTTCAGAAATGGATGAAAATGGGCAACTTTGGCATCATAATTTTAGCCAAACAGCATGGCTCCAGCATCACATTTTCATTTACAAGACTGTTGCAACTGGTGACTGTTTATAGCAACCCTGTCAATCTAACAATACCTAAACTAAAACATTAAATATAAGCTGTCCATTTCTGATTTAATCAGTGATCAGTGCTTTTGATCCACTTAACATCACTGCTGGCCTAACCATCTTAATCCCAGGGTATTTCTAAAGTACACAACTCAATGTGACCACACCACCTGCATCTCAGTCAGCGCTCTTACCTTTGCTGAACCTCCCTAGAGCACAGTTTTGACAAGTTAACAAACTACCTTAAAACGGCCTGTGCTCCCCTGAGCAGCTGCCTTGTACTGGTAAAAAGAGCTCAAGGAGAAACACCAAAGACTACGAAGAAGTCATACAGCAGAGTTAGAATATAAGTATTAAAAAGATGTTTGGGAACTAAGAGCCATAGTTTATTAGCCTGATTCATCAGCCAGTTTCACTTACTGGAAATCGTCTGACCTCGCAGCATTAGAATTCGCTCGCTCGACGGTAGGCGGGTACTTATTCGCTGCTATTTGGTCGTGGTGTATGTAATGCGCCGCTAACGGGGCTAACTGGTACATTAAGCTTTTCCCAAATCCTGTAAGAAGAAGGGCAATAATGTCTTTCTCCCTGATAAAATTCACCAAACATTGTGTTTGTTCTGGCTTTAAGTCCTCAATCCCGGGAATCATTGCCAACACAGAATGTATGTCTCTGCAATGTATGTCTCTGATTGGCTGGTGACTCGCACTTCTGGGATTCTTGCAAACTGTCTAGTGTATTCCGATTCTTGACCTAGTCAGTGGAGAGAAATGAAATTGAGCGGAGACACTAGGTGGCGCCAGCCTGGCCAATAATTTATTCTATTAAGGAGAAAATGTTCTTAATGTCAAACACTGCCAACAATAATAGTCATATAGTCATAATAGGACAGCCACATATACCGGTGAAGCCATTATTACCCTCTTTATATATCCATAGAGCTTCCTGAAATATTCCACACTATCACACTATAACCTATCTATATTCTACTCTGCAACATTCCAGGGGGCCCATCTCCATGTAGACAGCTAGATGGCTCACCCCCCACCTGAAAGTGCACCTTTAAGCTGAAAATGAAGGTAGATAGTAGCCCATTTTAGAAGTAAGACGTGCTGGAAAATATATTCTGCGTGATTCAGAGTACATATAGAATCATTTTAAAATATTACTATATATGGGCAAATGTTATTTTTCCCCACTTTCCCTATAACACCTAAATCAGCTTTAATGCTGCTAAATGACTATTCAGAAAACATGACCTCATTGGCACTTTGTTGTGTACGCAGCCAATTACCTGACTAATTGTGGGAATGTGATAGTCATGCTCAAAAAGAAATCACATGTATTCAAGGAAAGACCTGCTCCTCATTGTGTATGCAAAACTATGCGTGCTGAGATTAATTTGCCATTAAGCATGGATTGATGTAGCCTTGGTGAAGCAGACAACCAGCCTATAATTGCCTCTGGTGTTGCATTCTCAGCTTTGTCTCATTACTGAAACAGATGCTATTTGGTGTGCCCGTTTCAGGTTGACAGGTGGTTTGTGTTAGTAGTGTGTTTCATGTGAACTGCGCTTGGAAAAACACAGCAGAAATACATCATCATAAGAACTGGGTTAGGGATTTGTATATGAATAAATTGCACCGGCGCTAATTGGTATTTGAAGAAATGCAAAGTTAATAGCTGGAGAAAACAAGCCGTTTAGTGACTTATTAGCTTGCTCAACAAAACAATTTGCGTCTAAATCTTTTTATTCCCCCTGTTCTAAGATTCATTAGGCTAATTGAAAGAGCTTTATATATTGTACAAATAACTAAACAACTGGAATCAAGCCAGAAGAAATATGAAAAAGGATTTTATTCTTCAGGCAATAAAATGAATTCATACAAATTGCCAAACTTAATATTCATGCGATGTTATGGGTTGATTAGAAATTAATGTAAAATTTATACAAAAACCTTATCATTGTGCTTTACTGCTTGTGCTGGCAAATACTGTGGTTGTCAAAATTATGAGCACACCTGCTATGTGAATCTGAAAACACTGAATTAATATCACAAGAATAAAACGGTTGTTCATAGGTGTTATGGGTGGCTCTGTCCTGCAGTGTTTTTACCTAAGACTGAAAGTTGCTCATTTTGGATTGTGACTGGAGCCTTTCAGAAACAAGCAGAAAACATGAATGAAAGATGAGTAATTAGAAACAGACGGTCACTCGGAGATTGTTCTGTGTTCAGCCATATTTGTCTTGAATATTTGGTGTGCACAAATCATAATTCTTACAGCAAGACATTGTTGTTTCATAAATATTTTTTGCACATTTATAGAATTTTACTTTTACTTTTCTATCCATTTTGTATTGCTAACATGTGAGGCTGTGAATTGAATTTCCTAATAAGGACAAGTTCGTAAACCAAATGATAACTGTAAGAAATTAATTTATGTATGAAAACTTTCTTGAGCATCCCACTAAAACAACTTTAACTTTTAAAGTATACTTCGAAAACAATAGAAGTACCATTCTGAAGATGCTGTTCACTACTTTAAATCCAGAACTTCACAACTGTACATCACTGAACTCTAGGTCGATGAAAATATAGTCTTATAGGAAACACAGTATTACATCTTCCTGCGTTTCCTGGGCCTCTGGTTGAAGACAGGAGACGCTCCCATGAGAGAGTCCGGTGATTGTGATCCGTAGCTCCCGTCTGATGCAGCACCCCCTGGAGACGGAGCCATGGCCCCCCCAGACTCACTCATGGTGGACATGGGATCCCCTTCCTCAAACACGTCTCCTCCCAGGACACTGTGGTGATGGTGGTGACTGGATCCTTGGCCGTCATCACCGTCATGAGGCTCTATTTTTACTTGGGGCCACAGCGGGGAGTTGTTGGCACCACCTCCACCTTATTTGAAAGAAAGAAATATAAATAAAAACGTATTTATTGTGAATCTTGTTTAAACAACACAATTTTTTTTTGTCTGGATTATATTTGAAATTTCTATGTGGCTATAGACCCACTCAATAACATTCAAAGGAATAATCTGTGCGCCACCCAAAGGAAATACAATTGAATTGAAAATGCTAAAAAAAAAAAAAAAGATTTACAATCATTCTAAAGAATGACTTGATCATTTGTAAATGACATGTAATAATAAAGAAAGGTTATGTTTAATAGGCATACAGCACTATTGCAATTTTTCTCATATTGCTCTACAGTGAAAAACATCTATAATAAATTAATAATTAATAGATTAAGTTTCACCTGAGGTATGAGGAGAATGGTCACTGTCCAAGCCTGATGTGAGTCTCTCCCCATGTGGTCCCAGCACTCCCATGGGCAGAGCCTGGTCTCCAGACGCCAAGTCAGCTTCTGGCTCCTCGCTAACAGGGAACGAGATGTCACTCATGGGCTCCTCCTTGATCCTGGGAGGTTTGGAGTCCTCCTGAGCTTTCTCTGGGTTTACTAGACGCTCGTACTCCTCTGACAGATCTTTACTCAACTGTAGGAGAAAATATTGAGAGGTGAAACACATACAGTATATCAGTACAAAGGGTTGTGGATGTTTGCATCCTCAGCATAGTGTTACAAGGACAGCTCCAGTTCATTGCTGACATTTCTCTGTGGTTAGCACTGGCATCATCCAACTATTACAGAATTTGTCCTTCTTTAACATTATCAGTTTCCTTGGTCAACTCATCTCAGAAGCAGTATGCTATGCTTTTCTCATTTTATCTCAGCCATCTTGTTTCCAAGATATCCTTCTTAGCTCCTATTTAAACTTCCTTGTATAGCATAGGTGTGCTTGAATAGCCAAAACTAACACACAATGTTGTGTATTCAACATATAGTCGCTGCCTCTAGGTACAACTCTGGGGTTCGTAAGGACAGTATTTATTTTCCCAAACATAAAGTAGAGCTTGAGCTATAAACTTAAAATAAAATATGGAAAACTCTTTACTGTGATGCTAGTATCATAACATCATAAAATGGTGGTATACTGTATGTTTTTATATAGAAATAAAGTAATAATAACCCCGTATACGTATTGGTCAGAGAAGAAAAATCTCACACCAGTTTCTCACCTGTAGCATATAGCTGTGATAGTCCTTTATCCTCACTTGCCAGAAACGTTGCAGCGCAAGCACACTGCCAATACCCACTTCATGAAAGACTTGCTCCATCACATCAGGGAAAGCTGGTGGCGCCCAGTCGAGCCTCTCTGTCCACTGCTACTCGCAGCAGCTGAGTGAGTTTGAGGTAATGTTCATGAACCAGGTCAGTGAGTGTCTCCAACACACTCTCTTGGGCCGACTCAAAGCCCGCATGGGCCAGTACTGTGGCCACAGACTGATACAGGAGCTGTCTGCAGGATGGCCAGCTCAGCTCTAGGACAGGCTCGCCTTTGCCCCTGAAAAATTCAATAAAAAGTAATTATTTCTGGAAACTGAAAAATGTGCTCATTTAATTTAATCACATTTGTTATGAAACTTCAAATACAACAAATTGTGTGTTTTATATCATGTGAAGTGTTTGGAGGAACATCATCAGTGTCTGATTTACTCACTTATAGAAGTCACTTTCAGGGTCACTGTGTCGAAGATTAAAAGGCTGTTGGGGAGCTTTACTGTCCACAGGCAGCAGGTCGTCTGGCATGGCAGGAGGGGTGGGAGCCCGCAGAGGCAGACTGGTGTCCGTCTCCTCTAATCTTCCTTCAGAGGAGGCAGAGGATTGGCCCTGAGCCTGAGTTTGGGCTAAAGCTAAAAGTCCCCGCAGGCGTCGCGTGTGCTGACAGAGCTGCACCGTGTGGATGGTGAGGCTGCAGGGCTCAGAGGGGATGTCCAGCATAGTGGTGGGGCGCGGGCGCTGAGCGGACGGCTGGTGCAGAGGAGGGTCCTGCATCTCCACAGAGCGAAACTCGCGCTGGAGCAGGTCAAAGGAGCTGCGGCTCGGAGGGGCCCCCGCAGGACCCGGAATCTCACCCCAGTAACGCATCATAATGACCACAGAGCAAACTGTACAGTTTTAGAAAGGATGAGAGCAGTTAGGACCGTCAGAGCAGTACCAAGCATCACTGATCTTTCAAATACAGTAATAATTAGATTACGCAAACGCACAATTATTTATATACATAGCCTGAACCACCAAGATACTTTTGAATCTCATAGGGTCGATACTAAAACATTAACATCGACAAATGGAAGTAATAAATATCCACATATAAGGTTTTCAGTTAGTAAGTAGCTTACACTGAGAGGAAGACGGCTATGCGTTGTAATTTGATGTAAATAAATTTTGTTTGGAGCGCAGGTTTGAGCGGATAAAAACTTCCTGTCCTTGCAGTATATAGGTTCGGTAAGAACAAACCGTATGTTGTGTTCCGATACAATGAAAATAATACATATATACATTTTATTTTATATATTAACATATGTACTCAATTGAAGTAATTGTGCAACATTAAGTTATTTTATTTGCATAGATATATAAGTCAATATTCGATCTTGAAAATATTTTAAATAGAACCACATTACGGTCGGCTTTGACTGACGTACCAAATAAACATGGCCGCTTCCCCGTCGTCTGAGCAGTGTGTGGAAAACACAAGTGAAGAAATAAACTCTATAATGGAAACATCTGAAGCCACAGGTGTAGACCACGATGAAAAACCCGAAACGGAAAATGGGTCTAAAGCGGAGGTAGAAGCAGATGAGCCTTTTAAAAAGCCGGCTCTTTTTGCGGCCCCTTCTCTCAGCTAAGCGGGCTACTGTCACTGCTCCAACCAAGACTCCAACATCTGAGACAAGTGTCGTCAAAGAGGACAAAAAAGATGAAACTGTGGATGCTCAAACTGTACCCGACAAGGAGACACAAAAAGAAAGAATAAAGGATGCCGATGAGCCAAAAAGGCAAACGGATTCTATCAAAAGAAAACATGAAGCTAAATCTAAAGCGCTTCCTAAAGGTCCCCCGCCTGGTAAATTCCCTCCTCTTCCTTACACAGAACCGAGTTGGGGTGGTAAAGCTCCAGATATTCCGTACTCTATAGAAATCCTAAAAAACGGTGCCATTGTAAACACGATACCGCTTAAAGACGGGAGCTTCTTCGTTGTCGGACGTTTACCCGTGTGTGATGTAGCTTTGGAGCATCCGTCCATCTCCCGGTACCACGCAATCATCCAGTACCGAGGAGAGTCCGGCGAAACGGACTCTGTGGGTGAGGAGAGGGGCTTCTACGTCCAAGACCTGGGCAGCACACACGGAACCATTGTGAACAAGAACAAGATCCCACCAAAGACTTACATTAGACTAAAAGTTGGGCATGTGTTAAAGTTTGGTGGGAGTACAAGACTTTTTATATTACAGGTGAGACACAGAAGTAGCATTATGTCATAATATTCATTAGGATGCAAAGACCATTTAATTAATTAAAAATATATATATTTTTCCCATTTTATTTGAGGACCCCCTAGTAAATGTAAATCCATTGTAGGTGAGGCTTAAAATCTGTCTAATTATTTTTTGTCTTATTTTGTGTCTTTACATAATATAGTCTAGTCTACTCTAGATCAGTGGTTCTCAACTGTTTTTCGATTAATCGATTAATCAAACTTTATTTATTAAGCGCTTTTCATACAAAAACATAACACAAAGTGCTTTACAGTGATTAAAAACACTCCCAAACACAAAAAACAGACTACCCACAAATCATAAAATAGTTTTACTTTTAATGTTTGAATGTTTGTCACAGGCTTGATAAATTTACTTATAGGCCAGTGTATTGTTATGTTACATCCCAATGAACCACAATATTTGTAGGGTCCAGAGTCTGATGAGGAGGAGGAGTCTGAGTTTACTGTGACAGAGCTGAAGGAGCGCGCTCGAAAGCAGAGAGAGGAACTGGAGAAAAGGATGATGGGAGCTGGTTCTGATGATGAGGAAGAGGAGAAAGGAGAGAATGAGGAAGACAAGAAGAACCAGAGCAAACAGTCAAATGAGGATTCAGGCTGCTTGTGGGGAATGGGTGAGTCATCATGCCTTTTAAAATGAACTTTTTTATTATTATACACATAGTTATTTATAAATATTTGCCCTTCACCCCTTCTATTAACTTTTATTCCAGCTGATGATGCCATCGCCGAGGATGAAAATGAAGAGAACCCTTTCTCAACAGAATTTCAAGAGGATCAAGAAGCAGCCTATCTCAAAGATCCAAAGAAAACACTCCAGGGATTTTATGACAGAGAAGGTTTGGCAATTATAATATTTTTGTATAATCTATGCATAGTAATTACTTAAGTCAATGCTATTTTAATTGTTTTTTTTATCACAGGAGAGGAGCTGGAGTTTGAGTATGAAGAGAAAGGCTCAGGAACATGGCTTTGCAGAATCAAGTAAGAAAGATAAATAGCATAATTCTGTCTTAAAGGTAGACTGCATAACATTTCTAGTGGAGGGTTCATCACCTCATGTCTCCATGGAAATGTTATTGTCTAGAATGTTCCACAGTATAGCCTTTCTATCACAAGGCAGACAAGCCGGTTACAGCATTATGCTATATATACAATTCAGGTCTATGGCGAGTCATCTCTATTCACAGAACAAATTATTGTATTTTTGAACAATAGAAAGACTTAAGATGAATAAATGCTAGCTGGAAATGTTTAAAGTCATACCATGGAGCATTTCATTGAAAGCATGGAAACAAGCAGGTGGCAGACCCTCAATCAGAAAAGTTGTGCAGTGCACCTTTAACAAATGTCCAGGTTTTAAGTGACACTAACATTGCTCTCTGTCAGGTTACCGGTTGACGATGCCAAGGGAAGGCAGCTAGTGGCTGAGGTGACCAACACAGGAAAGAAGAAAGAGGTGACAGTTCAGTGTTGCCTGGAGGCGTGTCGCATGCTGGAGGCTCGAGGGCTGCTGCGCCAAGAGGCAGGTGGGAGATCAAGGCCAAGAAAGATGACGGAACTGATTCCCCCACAGTCTCAAGTTACAATAAAACTTCTTTTATTTGTCATTTCTAGTGTCCCGGAAGCGTAAGAAGAAAAACTGGGAGGATGAGGATTACTATGACAGTGATGATGATACTTTCCTGGACAGAACCGGCACAGTGGAACGAAAGAGACAGGAGAGGATGAAAAAAGCAGGGAAGATAGAGGAGCGAGCTGAAACCTTTGAATCTCTGGTGGGTGAAAGTTTAGTAATGCTGAATATGTTTTCAACCCTTGCTTAGACACTTATTTTTTTTATTATGGAATGTAACTTAAAGAGCCCATATTACACTGTTTTCTGATCTATGTTATAATGTTGTTTCAAAACACAACAAACAAAACAAAAAAAAGAGTAAATTTTGTGTAATATAGGACCTTTTAAATGTAAGATGGCACAATTTAAACCAGTTCATTCTTTGTATCTTTGAGAGATTCAAATGTGTGTGTTGTTAAAATATTTTTTGTCTTGGGCTCATCCAGGTGGCCAAACTGGCAGGGGTGGAAAAGGAGTTAGAAGTCACTCAGAAAAAGCTTGATTCTGGAAGGAAAGGTCCGTTTTCAACTGCTCTCTCATTTACTTTGTTTTGTCTAAATCCAGTATCTGAACTATTTATCTAACTACCTCTGTCAGATTCTTCCGCGTCATCTACTGAGGATCCTCTGGATGCTTTCATGACAGCTGTAAGGAGTGAGGCGGCTATGGATGGTGTAGAGCGCAGAAAACTCCACGTTCATCTTGCCGATCTGAGGAAAGAAGTTCAGAGACTTCGCAAACTGGTTGAACTTACACGGCCTGTCCAGTTACCAACACTTGTACCAAGGTATACAAATTAATCTTTGTTTTTCTATTTTATTTTATTCTTCAATTCTATGTTTTTATTTATGTTACATTTAAGCAGCAGCTCAGAGCCAGAAAAGAAAAAAACCCTTCCACTTTTTGGGGCTATGAAGGGTGGCAGTAAATTCAAACTCAAGACTGGTACAATTGGGGTAAGAACAATTATTCAAGCTAGTATCTCCATACTGTTCCATGTTTATTTAACCCTTTTATTTTTACATTTCTTCAGAAATTGCCCCCAAAGCGTCCTAATCTACCCGCAGAGCTCTTCAATATGAAAGAGCTGCCTCCAGATGGGGAGGAAGAAGAGGAAGAGGAAGAAGAGCACAAAATGGAGGACAATGATAACAATGATAAAAATTGTGTAAATATGTCTGAACCTGAAACAGAAGAGGAGACCAGAACATCAGCAACCGAGCAGATGGTAGAAGAAGAAAATGAGGAAGGAAGACCAAGGCCAAGACTAAAAGGTGAAAGAAATGCAACACAATAGTGTAAAATATATACTCAATCGCTCCACTAGAGGGCGGCAGATCTCCACAGCAATGTCTTTCTATGGCGGCTATAATGGACTCCTTACCATCTATAGTCTTATATAGTTTAGTATTTATTTTTGTTTAGAGCACAGTTCAAAAGTATTGAAAGGAGACAAACGGACAGAAGCAGTGAAGAAGGTCAATAAAAGTCCCATGAATAAGGAAACTTCATCAGATCCAACTTGCTCAGGTTTTTAAGCTTAAAATGTGTTATTAGAAAAATATAACCTGGACCTTTATACACATTAGCCTATTTATGAAGTCGCACCTGACCAGCATTGTGTTGTGATAGAGTCCAAGCCAGATGACAGCAGTGAAACAGCATCTGTGTCTATTCCCAAAAAGAAGAAAGTCATTGGCCCGAGCAGGGTAAGTCTGCATGTTCAATCAGTGTACAGCAAAGACTTTTGTTTTGTTTGTGTGTAATATCCCTCAGTCATCCAAGGAGAATCCATGGCAAAAGGAGAAATTCAATTTGTCAAATGGATAAAAGTTTATTTGGTTGAATACGTTTCACAGCTTACCGAAGCTGCTTCTTCAAGTTCTGGATTTTGTTGTATTTTGATTTGATTTATTGTTTTTTAGCCACCTGTGCCACTCACCGGGGGAAAGTATCCAGATGATGACCCTGATTATTGTGTGTGGGTGCCTCCTGTGGGTAAGACATATTTGTAACATCACACTATTACATGTAGAACTTTGCTTTTAAGAAGAAGGTGATGTAAACTACGATTTCAGATTTATTTATGCACCAAATTATTCATGATTCTCAACTAAAGACAGTTGACTTTTCAAAAATATTAATGGTTGCTTAAAATATTAAAATGCTCTTTACAACCTAACCATATTCTTGTCATACTATAATAATCTTTTGTCCACTGGTCTTTTGTATAGATTTTTTCAATAAACTCTGTTCTTTTGTATCCTGTAGGTCAGACTGGAGATGGTCGTACACACCTAAATGACAAATATGGCTACTGAGGGACCATTCTTACTCAACTTCACCAGCCTTTCTATACCAGTGAATACCTACAATACAAAGTGGTCTACTTAGCTCTAGAAAGCCTACTATTGGTCATTCTGAGAAATGGAGAGGCAGACCAATAAAACTGTCCCGAACCCACTCGTTGAGACAATAATGCACCCTTTTCAGCTTTTGGGACTATTTACAGAGTGATAAACAAAACCACACCATGTCTATTCACTTAAATTGAGAATGCTGGAGAAGTGCCCTCCATCTAAGCAGACACTGGGCAGTTGGCCTGCTGGCACTTTTGTACTCAGAGATGGGGTCACACTTAAAATTTTGTCATTTAATTTCAGTGAGCTGCTTCACTATATCTACTGAGTGGAAAATACTAAGGGACAGAGCAGGGACATTTAACTGATCTCAATTCAGCTTTCTCTTCCTGTTAAATTCACCTGACACCCAGTCCGTCTACCCACTCCTGTTTGGCACTAGTCAATTGCTGGCATAACCTTTTTTTTTTTTCCAAAAGAGAATGCGTAGCAGGGAGAGAGAAAGAGAGGAAGGCATTGAAGCAGCTTTTCTGACCATCTGGACACTTGGATGGCTAACTGGATGAAATGCAAGCTGATAATGACTCAAGCTAAGTGAAGTGTGTGTGTCTGTATATACACTGACACACATGCAAAGTTCTTATTTTAACAGGATTTCCCAATAAGCCCGTCAGCACTTGAACTGTTTGCATGAAGTAGGATTCCTTTATGTGTAATTCCTACTAATTGCGCTTGTATTCTCTTGTTTGTGCTCTCTGTAATGTTGTCAAATGATTGTATTTTGTTATATAAAAATGTAATTAAATTCAATAATTGTTACTGACCCCATTGTTTTGTGGACTTTCAGGCAGCTGGCTTTGACCAGGATGCCTTGTTCACACCCAAACCAGTTTTGACGTCAGAAGCGCTTTCTCTCTTTTCTCTCACACAAAGAGCTCTTCTCAGGGAATGGACTGGTGTAAAGAGGCTTGTGGTCTTGGCTGTGGTGCTTTGCTCTGAACTTGTGTGTGTGACCTACTAATGAGGGGTACGCACATCTTACCATTTGTAGAGTATTAAATTACCCTTTTTAAGTTTCTAATTTAAAGCTAGGACTCAAACAATACAATGTGGTTAGAGTTTGTATTTCAGGTTCAGAGGTGAAAAGTACCAAAGAAATGTATGGCCATAACCAAAAAATACAGTATAAATTGCACTAAAGAATGTTACAATTTAACAGTGTATGATAACTTTTCTGAGGGAAGGGTAATACACCGGATTGCCTGGAATTTTCCACAATATGGCATTAAACCTGTCTAGCCCTATACCAGATGATGTCACCAGACAATGCTCAGTATAAATGCAAACCAATCACAACCAGAATCTATGTTTTACTGAGCATTTGTTGGAGTTAAATAACACCTGTAAGGTTAATGCCATTCTGTGTAATGTTTAAGGATTTTCTTCAAACTCGTTATAAAAACAGACAGAAAGTGATTGCCCAAACAAGAGGCCACAGGGCGTTTATTGGTTCATTTTGTGCAACATGGACATCAGTCACAATGTTACCTTCTCTTCAGCAGTGTCCTTGTCTAGAGTGATGTTTCGTCCATCAAATTCATTACAATCTGTGTTGAACCGAGAACTAGCATTTCATACAGCCGTAATCTCACCCTGAGGCATTAAGGGACTTGTAAAGACACTAAAATGTCTATACACAATTGATCCTCTTCTACCTCCAAGTAATGAATTACAGTAGTATTTAAAATCATGGCACACTATAAAGTAGGCTATGCAGAACACAGATTACACTTTGCCAAATGTGCAGTTACTACTGTCATCTCATATTGACACCTCTCCTTTCTGCAATCACTGGAATCCATGCAAGGAAAGAAGATACATGTACTCAACTTTGACTACAAGTGACAGTCATTAAAACACACATTACATCATCAAAAATCGACTATTCAACTACAGTCATTACAGTTGGTTATATCTCATGACCTGTATATTCATAGCCAAAGAGTTAGACAAAAACTGCCCTTTAGTTTAACAATAAGATGACTCAATGTGTCGATTACGTAGTATTACCAAGAATCTTATCATCGTAAGGAAGACATCTTGGTACCAATGATTGTCTTACATGCATTGTTTAACTTCAAAATCATCCAAGTTTCTTTTGTATTATTTGCCCCATCTGTTTCATCACCATAAAAACAGTAACATTTTAGGATTTTGAGACATGCAATACCTGAAATACCCTTGGACTTTAGTGTGTAGTTTAGCCTGTTTCAGCATTAGGAGCAGGATTACCTGAGTGTGCAAGAGTTAGACCAGCGGACATGTGTCTTAAGTGTGCCTCTAAAGCTGTCAGTCTTTAACAGTCACTTGTTGGTCTCGGCAGCAGAAGCCACATGAAAGCGGCTGTCTGGCTGGGAATGCAGAACAGGGCGCTGGGAGCTGGGTCACTACGGCAGGGCTGAGTGGATTTCCTTATGAGCAGGGAGGGTCCTCACTGGAGTTGAGGGGGCTGCAGGGGGGCACCGTGCTGAGGGATCGAAACGCAAAGATGGATGGGTCGTAGGTGTATCTGGGAGGAGGGCGGCTGCTGCTGGTCAAGTTCTGAAAGAGAAATAAGGGGACAGTTTCATGTTAGTTCAAGTTATTATAATATATTGTGATGTGTAGGCTACTGTGTCCAAATAATTTCATTTCCCTTGTGGATCAATAAAGTTTATGTCTAAGTTTATGTCTAGTTGTGCATGATCAGGATACAGGGTGTTTTATCAACTCTGGTTAACAATTTACTTTATTTAATGATTAGTTCTGTGGATTATAATTGATATTGTAGCACTCAATAATAGTAAAAGCAGCTACTATAAACAAGGACAACATGATTATATATTATAGTCCATTTTAATGTTTTGATTCAAGGAAGTGTGAGTGTCAGAGCCATTTCGTGCAGATTTACTCAGAATACACAGTGACACAGTGATTTTGTGTAGCTTAATGGGAAAAAAAATGCATCTGTAAACTTCTTGGGATGTCACAACTGAATATCTTCACTATTACAAAATACAGCATTGTGTCCTTTTTCTGTTGTGCAAGTTCAAAATCTAACTTTTACGTTTAGCTTCGTGCTTAAAACTGATGTGGATTAACTGCAACTCCAGGTCAACTACTTGTTATTATTTGCCTCATATTATTTTAACCGATGCGCCAGGACTGTGAGAAACGAGTGTGGGAAAACGCCTGGCCCTCATTAAAACAAGTCTAAACACTTCTAGTTTTTCATTCAGGTTTACACTTTTCCCCGCACAAGGTCGACCCCTGGTGAGCTGCAGCAGGCCTCTTACGGCTCTACAAGCTTCACGTCTAAAATTAGCCCTGGTCATTTTCCTCCCGACAGGAAACTACAGGAAATGACTTTGTTGGATTTGGCAGTGAGGCAGCAGTTTCTCCAGAGCCTGTGGAGGGGGAGTGAAGTCTGCAGAGAGGGATAGATTGGGGCTTTGGTGCTCCAGTGTGTTCACAATGTTTTTTAGATTGGAGCTGTGAATTTCCATTGCTCTATTCACAACCATGCAAGAGTGTAAAAAGCTAATGATTGGAAAACAAAATGGGCTGCAGAGAATATTTGTTTCATTAAGTTTAGTAACTCTGCATTCTTTGGTGCTGTGTTTCAGAGATGTTGAAAACGTGCCACACCTCCAGACAGGATACGAAATGAATGATTCCATCTACGAGTCACTTTCCTATTTTCTTTATAGCACCAATAAACTACTTCATGGTGGAAATATGTACTTTTTAGGCATGTTAGCATTGCTTTGGGTCGTTACACATGCAGTTGCTGAAGAGTTCACAAACTTGAGTCTCGGGAACTTTAAGCCATGTTATAATGTTGTTCCCTCATCAAAAAGTCCTCACCTGGAGTTCTGTTTTGTTTCATTCACACATGTTACAGCTAAGGGTGTGCAAAAATATCGAAATATTGATATATATCGTATTGTTTAATGTGATGATACAGTATCGATATCGTGGGCTGTTGTACTGATATATCACCAAGAGTATTTTTTGGTATATTTTACTAAATTATTTTGTTACAGTGCTACAGTTTTGTTCCTTGTTAAGCGGAAGGAAACTTGTTTATGCATCTCATTTGACATTTCCACTGTTTTGATTATTAAAATGGGCATGTATCATATTTACATTGCACATGAAGTGGTTTAACAAAGACTTTTAGTATCACAGCCACGATTTAGACTCATTGAATCGATTTGAAATATACTGTATCGAATCGAAAGGTCACTGTATCGAGATATATATTGTATAGGCAACGTTCTTAATGATACCCAGCCTTAACAGTTCTTTATTCAGTCAATCTACTAGCCTGATTCATCAGCCAGTTTCACTTTATGGAAACCGTCTGACTGGCATTAGGATTAGTTAGCTCGACGGTACATCTCCAAAGCTCAAAATGCTCTGTACCACCTTCTGATGTCATGAAGTGGTAGTTTTCAAGTTAACAGCTATCTTTCACCTTTTGTTCAGTAGAGATTGGCAATTCTGGAGCTGAGATGATCCAAATAATTCTAGTGAAGGTGTATGGAGTTTAAAAACACAGTGGAGCACTTCCTGTATTGCCACATGGCATCACAAGGTGGAACGGAGAGTTTTCTGTTTGAGAGAAGAACTCAAGAATATGCAGGGTCTGTGTGTTAAATATGTGTGAATGAAACAAAACACAGCCCCACAAAACAGCACAATATGGGCCCTTTAATTGCAACGAACACCAAAATTATGTTGAATTAATAGTTGCTCTTCCAGTGCACTTTTGATAAATCTCACAAGCATTTTTCATCCACTCCATTCAATCCTGCACGTATTGCCATACTATCAAGTCTTTCAATGAACGTGAGATGTTGCTATGCTATATCTTTAGGGATCCAACTCTGACTACTGAGAAGCAGTAACACAGCAACAATTCCCACTACTAAACAGACGACCATTGATAACAAAAACAGACAAGAACCAATACATGGAAAATCCCTTTATTCCAGCCAGGAACATGTTACAGTAAGTGTGATTTATGTTGCTGTTAACTGTTCTCCACATGGGATATAGGGGTCGAGCAAGCAGGGGGAGGTAAGAGCCATAGATCAGGATGGTTTCAAGATCCCCACAGAGCTGTCCTGTTGTCACATCTGCAGAGAACAGACATCCACAGCCCAAAAGGGTCAGACAAAGTACAGATCCCAAAAGAAGAAGCCCTAGAAGATACACTAAAGACAGGCCCGGGAGCATAACAAAGTACAGCTGGGGCCCTTCTGCTTTGATGGGATTGTGAAGGTTTAAAGAACAAATTGCAAATACAGTCGAGGATAATTCATGGAGGACTTTGCATGGTACCAATTTCTGAAAAGCAGATGATGTACTTATAGTTACAGCCTGGTCAAGAGTTTACGTTGATATTGAACATGACAGAGGCAGTGGTTGCAAAATGGGTTACTTCTACTGACAGAGAATTCCATTTTCTATTCAACATAAGATGAATGCGGGTGACGTTTTGCTATGGCAACTGTGCGCATGACACAAGTAATAAAGTAATAACATTATTTTGCTTTTCATGAGTGGTAGAAGTAGCTACACTTTGGGCAGTGGGCAGGTTAGTCTCAAGGCTAAATGTTACAAACAATGCACAAACCTAGTAAGACTCCAAAATTATTAACCCATATTGCAACTTGGAAAGGCCACATAATAAAACTTTCATATCCTTTTATTGTTTTCTACTTACTCATCCTTTTATGATGATTGAGTGGAGTACACCAAGGAAAAGAAAGACAGAAAGTTTCAAGTTGGATACACAGGCAGGCACCCTCTGAAATGTACATTCTTTTTGGGCAATTTGGATTCATACTTTCACCTTACACGTGCATGACTTTCTTTGGACAGTGGACGCAATAAACATGCAGTCGCCATCCATAGAGAAGTGACATATTACTGTATTCAAGAAACAATTAAACTAACTTTTAAACTAACTGGGAAGTGATATCATAGCAAAGTCATGTTTTTGTATTCCTTCCCCTGTGACCCTAATCTCAAATCAAAATAAGGCATACACGCTATTCGTTCATTTGGTTTTCCTTCCACTCCCTTCAAATCTGCACCATTTCCCCCAGCTCAATCAATCTGCCCCGCTCTCCACCCATTGTGCACAGTGACTGAAACCAGACGCCATCACTCCTGCCCTGGGAAGCTCTCACCGGCCCACTCGCCTATTCACCCACAGCCCCTGGAGGAGAAGCCAGGGCTGTGTTTTCCTACTGACCCCCTCCTTTAACTAAAGCCACCGACCTCCTTAACCCCGTAACAACTCCCATCTTTGAATGCTTGAATCCAGCCTCAAAGCGCAGACTACAGGGTCAGGATCCAGTGTCTCTTTTGGATACGGGCCAGGAAACTGAGGGTTGACAGATAAAAGGGGTAAAGGACGGAGCCGTGCAGGGGATAGAGAGGAGAGGCCCGTGTTAAAGTTAGAGAGAATAGGCGTTTTAAGGCGGAGAGCGTTAATACAAATTGTGTGTGCGAAGAAAATCAACAAACTGGAATGCGCCCAAGTCACAAAGACGTCACTAGCGAGGACACTAGCGGCTACAACACCAGCGAGAACACGAGAATATGAGGCGATATCTCTATGTATCAGGCCAGCTCAACAGACAGCCGGCCGCTCTATTAATGGAAAATGACTTCATCCTTGGAAATACACCACAAGGGAAGCAACCGCACTCCTCCTCCTCTTCATCTCTCCATCATCACTAGTTCTGCCTTTAAAGTTGTTCAGTGCACTCTGTTAGAGCTATGGATGAAGCAGCCTGGAGCATTACAGTCGGTGGATGTGTGTACATAAACAAGTGCATGATAAGGTTCCACTGACACTAGCCCACACAACGTGATAATAACGTCACTTTTCTCACCACACTGCGCGTCCGTCTGGAGTGCTCCACTCAGTGCCAAAATCCCGGGCTTGTTCCACCGCGCTCTCCAGTCTTCCCAAACCCCACTAACAAAACACAATCAAATTCTATACAACCATATGAAAATATTCCCGTTTACAGTGCAATTAAAGGTGCACTATGTACAGTCTGATAGAGGATCCACTACCTGCTTGATCCCATGGAAATCGTATCGCTTTACCTAGAATGTCTCACAATGACATTCGACATATCTATATAATGAAAATAAAGAAATAATACAATGGATCTAGTACCATAATCTTACTACTTATCGTCAATAAAACTATTTAGTACATTTTAAAATTCTGTTATGGATACAGTGGTTTCTTCCAACTGTCAAAAAACAAAAGGTTTGAAACTGCTGACAGCAAAGAAATAGGAGAGTGAATGATTGTAATCCCCAGAACTGACTAGATATAAAAAGCCATCTCCCATTTGACCTCTCATAACATCAGTCTCATAACATCTGGCAAATCTCCAGGTTAACACAGCTCAACAAAATTAGCAAAGCTTTAAATAAACTAATAAACCTATATATTTATTCAGGTTACTCCCTCAGTACTGCTTATAGTGTTACTCTACTTATAGTGTTACTCCACTAACAAGCACAAGTTACAAGTTGCTGTAAACTCTTAAGACATTGAAATCTGTTTACTAAAACTAAGGGTGGAAGGGCCAAATGTCCACTTTGATCTTCAGTGAACAAGCTCCAATGCCACGTACTGTCCCTGCATGCACTTGGATGGACATTAAAGAGCAGGTGAGAGGACAGGTTGAGCTGTGCATGGGGGCTGAGCAACCTTGCAACCTTATCACTGCTGTCAATGGAAACCCTGGACCGCAGTGCCTATTATAGTTGTGCATAAAGGGAATGGCTGTGTGTGCATTAAATTAACACTGCTCAAATCAAAGGTATAGGCTTACCATCAGGACAGACAGTGCATGTGGGGTTTCAATGAGATACTCACCCGAATCTTTATTGTCCGAGTTTTTCCTCCACAGTTTTTCTTTAGGAGCATTTTCTGGAAAATAAAACATAGCAATGTTATAATTCAGTAATGTGCATGAGCTGAGCCTCTGCACCTCCTACCTAAATGTGAATATTGACTCTACCTGAGGCTGTTATCCTAAACAGTCACTCTAACACTTTCAGCCCATTCACACCAATTTAGGATGCAGGAAGTGAGCCAAATCCAGCCATCTTATGAACCTAAACAAGCAGTCAATAAAACTTATGCAATATCCTGTCTCCCACTCCCCACCATGTAGACGCAGTTCAACTGTTCTCAAAAAGCAGTGGGGGTGGTGGGACCACACAATCATCGAATTGTCTTGGCTTGGGTGGCTGGCTTCTAAGGGGGAAGGGAGCACAGAAAAGAATGGAAACTCTACTCTCCCACTGTTATGATGTGGCAGCGAGCTGGTGTGCACTTGCTTTCTTGCCCACCTCATGCCAAGGTCTATATCGGTTTTATCTTTACTATCCAATGGGCTGAGGCTCAGCAGCCAGTAAATTGGAGAATGAAACTAACTTTAGAGTAACTATCATGTCTCTAAATCCATTTTGGCATTTATTTTTTTTTTGTTTCAATATAATTTTTATACTTCAACGAGCTCCGCAATAATCTAAGTTGTGGTTGCACAAATACTGAGAACTTTGCCACCTCAGCAATGTGAGACTTATACTCAGCTAAGTAACTATTTGCTGAAGGTCTCTCCCCTCTCTTCACCTCTTTCATGATTACATCTGTCATGTCCAATAAAGCCCATGGGTAAAAAAAACTCATAGACATTTAGATGATATCAGTTCACAAATGACGGATGAGTATTCCACTGCTGATTCTAGATAGGCTGCTGAACACACAACACAGAGACGCTATCAGTCTCAGCGGGGTAACACACAGGCACAAGTGTCACACTTGTGTGAAGCAAAGCAAGTTGTGACATGTCTGCTCATGAACTGTTTTACAAGGGCTTGGACTTTTTATGAGTTAATTCAAGCAGTTTGAGAACAAATAATTTAATTATTGTTTATAATAATGCCTGTGGTTATAGAATGAGATCATTCAAGTACACCCTTACTTGGGGATTTTAAATATTTCCAAAATGCTTGGCTGAGGCTCAGCAGACATCTGCCGTGCAAACTGTTGCCCTTCAATTATTATCAGGTGGTTAACAAACAATGACACTGTCACATCTGAGCGATTGGACATGGCTTAGCATGCATGAGGGATTATCGAAGACTGAGAGAAAACAACCCACTGACCCTTTAACCCGGCCTTTAAGGAAATTATGAGATAAATAAATGTATGCCCCTGGCTGTAGCTCATGCTGTGCTCTGTGGAGGAGATTTAAACGGGAAGCTGGAAGTGCTCCGTTAAAGGGTTAATGGGAGAGTGGAGCAGTCTGCTGCTACCTCTGTAGGCCCCCTATTGTATTCTGCTGCACCTCCCATTCCACTTGACTGAGTTCCTCACAGACTGATACAGCAACAAATGAGCAGACACGAGGATGAGCCCACGCACACACACACACACACACACGCACACAGGGGCGAATGATAGACGCGGACCTCAGACCTCTGCCGCTCTTCCTCTTTTTTCACCCTCTCAATGCTGTCTCCTGTCATCTGCCATCTCCCTATAAAACCCTATGGACATATGGTCCAAACCCTCTGCACACAGCCTTGCCCAGTATGCTCTGGGCCAATAGTCTTTGGCTTAGATGATCAGTATTGGAGCTTGTTATTATTGGCTGTCATTTTGATTGTGTATTTAATCCTCTCCTTGAGCCTCCACCCCTCTTACGCTGTCCCACACTCACTGGTCTTTGTGCAAAAGCAGGGTGGACATCTGCCGTGCTCCTTCATCCCGGTCCAGCAGACCACCGTGCAGGCCGAGCGGGCTGAGGAGAGGGATGACTTTGTTTGCCTGTGAGAGCGTGCACATTTAGGGAGCCATGTGCGTGTGCGGAGGCTAGCCGGATAGACTGCTGGGACATCATTGTATTTTTGGAACAGATCCTCAGACCAACATAACTGTTTGCCTTGTACAGCGGGCAGCATAAGGTTCATCTGCTGCTTGGTACTTTAATGTTTTCACTACAAACACCAGCAGAGGGTAATATATGAGCTAACAAATGTCCATGGCTTTTAGAAATACCTACAGCACACTACTGGTTCAGCAAAAGCAAGTTCAAAAACTGCTCTGGAAACAGGTTGAATTCTTGTACAAGTATGTGTAAAGTGGCTTCAAGATTTTTGTACTATAACTAGTGACAGTGTTTTCAAACTTTGAGAAGCCACAAATTTGACTTAATATTAAAAAAAAAAAATCTTATTTTATTTGACTTTTAAATGTAGTATAATAGTCTGTGTGTCAAATAATCTGGAATGAAAAATATCTTAACCAGTCCAGTACTATTACTATTACAGTCTTTTTCATTAAATGGAACATGTTTCTATTGGAGACTCACCTGTTGCATCTTCTCCAGGTCTAGACTGGGCCTCCCCAGCTCCCCTCCATAACTGTGCCTGTACTTCCTGTATGGTGCGGCCTGGTCGAAGTGTGTGAGGATGATGGGACGTGTGACGGGTTGTACCACCTGCAGCTGAAACCTCATAGAGGGGGGTTTGAGAGTCCGCGGGGGGCTGGAGCTGAACAGGACAGGGCTGGGGGACGTGGCCAGGCACGCACCGGGCTCCAGGGCTCTGTTACCAGCTGGAGACCCACATCCACACAGGTCCCGTACTTCCTCGTCACTAGATGCGCTGCTATGGTGATCACCATGACGTCCGTGGAAAGCCGACACCCATTTCCTGTTGTCGCCACAGCTGATCCTCTCCAGTTCTTCTTCTGAAGAATGCCGGTCAAGATTGGCGTCTAGAAGGAGACGAAGACGACGTAGCCGTGCAGGGGACAGAGGACCCTGGTTGTGTTGCTGACTGGTGGCCAAGGGAGTGAGGGCGCAGTTTCTCCGCCTCTCTAGGAGTCAAAGGAAAAGGTCAAGATGTGATTTAAAACTCTGCTTCAGTTGTCAAAATGGTTAAAACAGCAAAGCAAAGATAAAAACTTACAAAAAGTAACTCCCAATATGTACAAACACATGTTGATATAAACATTTTACTGTTATTATGATGTTTTAAAATGGCAGAACACAAGATGTTGTCATTTACATTTGTACTTTAAAATTTGCTTTCATGTAATAAATGTCTCCAGTTGTCAGCTGTTTCCCCTTTCGGCTACATTTTTTGAGAATTGAAACCACAGCATTGGCACTAGTCATCATTACTTTAGACAAGTTCCTCACAAATAGAAAATGCATGGACATCCTCCTCCTGTAACTGTATTAAAAAGTTAAGAAAGAGCAGAAAACAATCTTCTGTTCTTTATTTAATTGACCATTTTGAGGCTATAATTTAGGTCAAACTTTCTCTAACATTTAGATCTAAACTGACTGATTCATCTCACCTCTGTCAATTTGTGCAAGTTCCTGGTTCTCACCCTCAGAGTCATCACTCTCTCCGCCTTCGCCGCTGCCATGGTAAGAAATCTGTAGGAGACACATTATACTGGAGGTCAGATATGCCATATGGTCCACCAGCCGGGCAGTTCTTACAGTACAGCCAGTAAGGGAACACTGCACTTCCACAAACTACTGACAGAGTTCACAAATAGAAAATAAGACTCAGCTATTGAATAAATACCCATGTTTTTCATTCAAATCCTGGCTGAGGTTACGCAACATTGAGAAGTAATTTAATATGGTTGTTTATTTATGAAGTTTATCTGTACTACAAAAGAGTGGAAACTAATAATTAGTTGAAGTCAGGCAACAATTCAAACACCATACATCTTAATAATTAAGTACATATGCTTGGAAGATCCATATTTCATTGGTTGAATTTGTTGAAAAGAACTTTTGAGACAACTTTTGCAAGTCAAGGTAACTTCAGTAGGGTTCAAAGCAAGTTTTTCTTTTTCTGTGAACAAAAACACAGATGTTGTGTTTTATTTTCATACGAATGTTCACCACTTGTGCATCAAACCAAAGTGACAAAGTAGTGCCATACTCACATTCATTGTATTGACAACTTTCAGTTCCCACAATCTCGCCCCTCTCCACTCTCTCATTAAAATCAATTCCTCGTCTTCAGCCGGCGCAACAATGCAGATACCCTGCAGACTGCCACGCTAAGAGTTAAGTAATGCCCCTCGTGTGGGTAATTACCACTGTGAGGCCTCGCTGAGCAGCTGCCATCTGTGCATGTGCTGCTGTACGCTTCACACACTGTCCTCCCTCATATACACACAAGCGCACACACCTCCTTCCTTTTTGGGGGTTGGAGCGGAGGGGGGTACTCATCCAAAAGACAAGAAAAAGCAAGAAGGGAGCCAGTGGCCTCTAAGCCCTCACAGCTTTTCAATACATTTCAAGTGTGAATGTTCTTAGGGGTATAGTACAGATGCCGCTTTAAATATGTATGAACAATAAGGTAAAAGTTTTTAAAAGAACATGTTAAAAAAAAAGTGAGTCAAAGGGTCACTTCTGTTTCTAAGTTACAAAACATTCAAATCTCAACTTTGTCCCAAGTGTGTTTTTTTCTTATTGACAAATGTTGAAACTTATATTTGTTAAAATGTTTAGATAATTTGCGTAGCCTTTTCTCACATCAGTTTGTGCAATATAATATAGAAATCCCAACTGGACCCTCTAATCTAAGTGACCTCAGTGCATAGCTTACTGTCACTCATTCAGCATCTGAAACATGTTTATGCAGCACAAACAAAAACATAAATTATAAAACACTTTAGTACACATTTAAATTATTATCATTGTCTTTGAGTGATTGGAGCAAGTTTGACATAATGTATTATAATTAAATGGTGCGAGTATGTTCATTTAATTGTCCTCACAATTTCAGATTTATTTGATATTGTTGCTGTCACTGTAGCACTGTTTTTGAACTAGGGCTTCTCAAGAGATGTTAGTCACCACTCACTTGTCTGAGCCAAATGTAAACACATGGGGGGAAAAAAATCATTCTACTCACGTCTGCACAATCTTGTGGTAATTTTAGCTTGTGAGATCTTGTGCCACGAAATCTTTGCTGGTCACACAGACTAGCAAACCAACCAATGCAGGCAAACACAGAGATCGGTCTGTCTGCACATAGCCAAATATTGCCAAGTGTTCCTCCAATCACACTGAGTCTGACAGTAATGATTTGGCCTCTCCTTCCCCTCAGGCCGACTCAAAGGTCTGTGCTGATGAATTGGAGATCAAGACAAATGTAAAACATGTGTAGATCTGCAGGAGGACATGCTCTGTTCAAGTCTTCAGTGAGTTTCAGACTACTAAGGATATCCAGAGTCAGAACAAGATACTGTTTCAGACTTACTATACTGACTTATTGTTGAATATATGGTAGCTGGAACAATATATTTTGGAGCTCAGTGTTTATTCTGTGCAATAATGGGGAGATTTTTGTTATTTTATTTGTAATATGGTGTAAAGATTTGCAAAAGTAACATCTATGACTAAACATTTATTCATTCTGCTATTTGATTGTTGCAGCTGATGCCTTTTAATGATACTGTCTATTTTAAAAAATGGGATTATCTTGATTTATTGTTATTATGTTAGTGGTAATATTAATGTTTATTTTTATATTTTTCTGCTGCAATATATCATGCTTCAAAATGTGTTTACGTGACAGGCCTAACCACAATGGCCAAATATTTTCATTTTCTGTGAGTTTTAGGTAAAATCTAAATAAACTTAAATAACTTAAATAAAAAATAATAGGTAAATAAATAGGTAAAAATATGATAAACTACTATAAATGTAATGAAATAGAGTAGGTACACATGGGGAGTTTACCATGGCCTCTTAGAAGAAATGGTCTTCTTAGAAATTAGGTTGGATGCAAACAATGACAATGATTTGTTAATAACCCCTAACCTTCAGTCCTATAAAACCATTCATAATATACTGTAGCGTTACATAAATATCATGTTTTAATTTAGAAGAGCTAGTAGAGCAGTTCAGATGGAGTAGACTTTTTCGAGGAAATGTAAACCTCAAGGAGAGATGATCCTCTCAGATGTCACAGTGATTTATGGCTCAAACATTATATCAGAATGTAAGGAATCTCTCCTGGCACTGGCATGTATACGCTGGTGCACTTGATACCACGGGACCACGAGAGATACAGATAAGAACTTCACAAGTCAGCCACATTTGCAGCTTTCAGACTCCTACGCAGAGGTGGGTAGAGTAGCCAAATAATGTACTCAAGTAAAAGTAATATTACCTCCAAAATAATATTGCTCAAGTAAAAGTAGTCGTCCAGTAATAACTAAAGTGAACCTATTTTTGGGAAAACTACAATGAGTAATAGTAAAAGTTACTGCCTGGACTCAAGATTTGATTTGAAGTTAATGTAAATGGATGGACAAAACCATAGATAATAAGGTATTTTCAAAGGATGGACCACAAAAATAAACAAAACTAATCATATCTGAAGGAGCGGTGCATGAAACACAAGTGTTCAAATCATCAATATTATCACCATTAAATAATTGTGACCATAGATAGACTTATATTCGCAGTGGGAAGAGTAACCAAAACTTTTACTCAAGTAAGAGTAAAAGTACTTTAAACAAAATAGTACACAGAAGGGGTAAAATGCAGTCCAAAAGCTACTCCAAGAAGTATAATTTCTTTCCAAAGTAAATACTGTAACTGCGTAAAGTACTACTACCCACCTCTGCTCATACATTCCACAATACTCCAAATAATGGTCATTGTACGGTTAGTTTAGGAAGGACAGAGAATGTTTTGCATCTAAATATACGGTATTAGTTTAACCATGCTCCACTGCAGAAAGAGGGGGCCTGTACTTTGATGTCAGGAAACATTAGAGGGCAGGAAAACATCTCCACTGTTTATGTCCTTGGCCTGTGCTGTAACGTTGAGCCAAGTTTCAATGTTTAAGTGTATAACCAAAACTGTAACTTGTTTAAAACTGATTAGACAACTGTAAAAACAAGTGGACTCAACACAAAGAGGTTTGTCGAAACTAAAGCCAACTAGAATGTCCAACCAGGATCAGCCATATTCACACCACTGACGTTATAATCATTCTTAAGAAAACACAGACTACTGCAAACAAAATCATTTTAATAATAGATTCCCTTTTGTAAAATGATTTATAGACCTGTCATGATAATTACTTTATCGACTTATTCAATATATGGAAGGTGGAACAATATATTTTTGGGGTCAGTATATATTGCGTGTACTTTTTCTTTGTAGTATCAGGGATTTTTTTTTGTTATTTTTTCACCATATGACGAGATTTGAGTCACAAATGATGAATTATTAACTTGTATGACTCATCACAGATGCAAAAGTGTTTCATTCTGCTATTTCATTACTGTAGCTCATTATTTCTTATAACAATATTGTGCATGTAGAACTGTTTTTGTTGTTTAAATATGCTCTTTGGTTATCATGTCAGTGGCATAAATTAATTTCAATATTATCGTTTATCGTCTATATTTACTTCAGCAATATATCAAAATGTGTTATCATGACAGTCCTAACAATTTACATGTGCACTATTTTGCGATTAAAAAGTCACTAAACAATCAACAATGATACAAATGTCCACTATGTTATCCATCCCACAGAGGAGGTTGTAAAACACAAGCACAAACTGTGTGATAAAGGCCACATGATGCGATGCCACATCATTAAAGTCGTAAAACTGTGCTGCAGCTTCACATGGACAAAGAGAGGAGTGTTTGTGTGTCAAGAAGAGCTGAATGAAATCCTTGTCAGTGCAGTGTCTCTGAGCCGGTCGCTAAGCTGGATCAATGGCAATGTCACCGTACACGCTCTCCCAACAGTAGCCAGTTCAACCACATACGTATCTGTCCTCTGCTGTGACGTTGGGTCTGTCACCATAATAACTATATCAACTTATCATTCAATATTTGTTACATGGAACAATCATTTTTGGGGTCAGTATTTATCATGAGTACTTTTTCTTTGTACTCGAGGGAATTTTTGGTTATTTTTTTCAGTAATATGACAAGACTTGAGCAGTAGAACTAAAATGATGCAACTGAATTAGTGTTGCATTCTGCCGTTTACTTATTGCAGCTAATTTTTTGAACAATATTGCTAATTTAAAATATTTTTTTGTAGATGTTTCAGCTTTATGGTTTGGTTTCAATTAGGGGAGTAATGATGTCCAAATCTCATGATACGATATCGTCATGGTATGAACCTCACGGTACGATATTTATTGCGATATCGTGGGAAAGCTCACAATGTGGTGTGGAGGCTCACGATTAGGGATGTAACAATATCCAAATGTCTTGTTACAATATTTTCACAATATACATCTCACAGTACAATATTTATTGCGATATTTTGTGGAGGCTAACAAACAAAACTTTTAATATGTGACTTTTTCCTCTTAAAATGCCTTGACAAGACTTCATGTATAAACTGTTTAGAAATGTTATTTCTTCTTGTAGTTTGCACTGAAATGGAGCAAAGGATCATGGTCTATATAGTTCCCTCTGTCTTTTTTTTAGCTATTGCTGCACCATAACTCTTCATTTAAGCAAAGAGACTTGTAATTCGATATATTGTGATGGTCCACGATATTATTGTGAGAACTTTGACGATACGATATCACAATATTTTGGTTATTGTTACATCCCTACTTTCAATATATTTATCATCTATATTAACCAGCAATATCACACAGGCCTATCTAACATACAGAGACAAACTATTATGATTCTGCTGTCTGCAACTGTTAAAATAGATGAGATTTCATGACATCTGCTTTATCAATAATCATGTTTGTAAGTTTTTGTATACATTTAGTTCAATCAAGTTCATTCTGCAAAATAACAGAAACATTGTTGCTTTGGCTTGTTTCCAAACTGTCTTGAGTAACACTGTTGGAAACCCCTGTGAGGTTTATTAATAGCCATAGTGGGAGTTAAGAACGGTAAATGATCAATAGATACATGAATGGTTCTGAAGTCTGAATTGTGTGCACAAAGTCAAAATCATGGCCCCACATCAACACAATTTTGGGTGTGTAAAATATTGTGTTTTCCAGAGAAACAAAGTACAGCATAGAACACTTACACTTAACCTGGTGACAACTTTCAGAAATCCTACATTAAAATGTGATTTGTGCTTTTAAGGACATCTACATTTTGTGCTAAACAGGCTTCAATCCGGAACACGTTACTGTTTAATCTGTTGTATTGATCAGGTTGTTTATCATGGCCATCGATGCACACTTGACAAGCCTACAAAACGCCATTCCTTCCGCCTCTGCGATAACATTCACAATCATATAATTTTGTGTGGGAATCAGTTGCCTCAGTAATAGTGGGTGTAGCTACTTCACCATATCTTGATCAGCAACCCAGAGAGACACACTCACTTCACTGATCACCCTAACAAGATGGAACCCCGCCATTGACCGCAGCACCAAATAAGAACACAGCAGACAATAGAGATGGCACACTTTCCCCCTGTATCTTCAGCCAGGCCTTTGAAAGGGGGGACCACTTTGGCACAAAATGGCTGCCATGCGACTACACAGTAGACTATACAGTTGGTTGACGCACAATAGTGTTCTGGATCAAGCAAGTTAGTGACCCATGCCTGGATACAATTCACCCCTCTCCTAGGTGAAAAGGGAGTACTAAGCAGTAACAATTGAGGAGCACTTTTTTTGCATAGTGGATAATTTTCCAGGAGTTGTACATCCTGGAAGTAATGCAAAAGTTTTGTCTGAACAGTTTTCCAAAGCAAGAATTTACTCTGTAGCTTTTGGCTTAAAAATAAAGGCACAAGTTTAGTTTACAGGTCAATGAGTATGAGATCTGTTACCACTGCCACATGCTTGCTGGAGTTTTATGTAGCAATTTGGCTCTCCAGTTTCTTTCAGTAAACATCTGGCAAAGTCCTATAACCCTTGCAGACCTAAATTCCCCCTGTGACACTGTAATGAACGGTTGGAAGTACTTGGAAGCAACCAGAAAATATCAACAAACAAGGCATACTTCCTGGATGTCAAAATGTAAGATAGTAGAACAAGCTTAAGTGCAATATCAACCAGTGCCATGTCATGAAAGATACAAAGTATATGAACTTATTTCAACTCCACTGAAGCAACGTTAAAGGGAACTGGCCTACAAATACACTTGAGTCACAAGACACAAAAGTAAAGCCACACTTTTCACAAACAACCTCCTTCACTACACTTTTTCCCATGGTTAAGCACACTACATCTAATTACACTACTACTAGGCTACTACTGCTGCTGCTGCAATACTACTACTACTACTACTACTACTACTACTACTACTACTACTACTACTACTACTACTACTACTACTACTACTACTACTACTGCTGCTGCTGCTGCTGCTGCTACTACTACTACTAGGCCTACTATTACAACAACAAAAGGCTACTGCATCATAAAAAGTAGTCAAAACTTACCTTTAGTTGAAATGGGTGTATTTCATTGAGTGAATGTCTTCTTAGCTTCTTGGTCAGCGTCTTTAACATTGTTTCAGTGTGTATGGCTATTATTACGCGTTACTGGTGCTGTTAAAAGCTAGAGCCTACAAGACTACAGACATGAACGACATTTAAAAGGCACTGGTAAAAGCTGACAGCCTCCAAAGATGACCCTGTAAGCATCTATGAACCTCGATAGAATGATAGATTGTATCAGAATTCTGCGTACTTTCTAAGACATAAACGTAGGGAACTTATTTTGGTAGCTGCGTAATTAAGGGGAAAAAAAGTCTTTCTCTTTCCGTTTCGGACTAACTCACCCTAGGCCCGGCTTGCTTACACTGCACAATAATTGAAATATGTTTTAGAAAATATAAAAAAAATATAGTAATAAGTTGTTCGCATTCACACACGCACTCTCACACACATGCACACACGCAGATGCCTAGTAAACTGCACGAACACGGAGTGAGTCTCCGGTCTGAGCGAGCTGCGCTTAGATTGGCTAAAGTACGCAATGATGTCATGTATTTTACTAAAAGAGGAGGGACCTAATTAAAGCCACATTGACTGTACTGTTTACTTGTAGTATTTTTATATTAAGAGGTCGCCCCTGTAATTTAAAGGCAGTATTTCTTTGGCACTGCATCTTATACTATGTGGAAGTAGTAATTCTAGATGTCAACATTGCACCATGTCAGTAGTGAATGGAAAAAAGTTAATGAGTAGTAAAGTACCAAAAGTAGTTAATAGTTAATTATAATAAGGAACACCGTGTATATTACGGTTTTGCATAACGTGCTGGCGTTGAAGGTCACACATATCAATAATGTCCCCATAACCTTACTTAAAATGGTTGGTAATAGTTACTGTCTATCAGCCTATCTGGCCTATTGTAACTGAACTGTATGCAACTTTATGAATAAGACTTCTTTTCTTGAGATTAGTTCAGTTTAATTTCATTTTGTTTTTTTGCATGAATTATATGTAACCGTAAGAGTCAGAGGTGGGGACTTGAGTCACTGTTTTTAGGACTTGAGACTTGACTTGATAAAACTGACTAAAACTTGGGACTTGACTTGGACTTGAAGGTTAGTGACTTCGGACTTGACTCAGACTTGAGGCTTGTGACTTGAGAAGACTTGAGAAGTACTTTTAAATCTGAATTCTTTTTATTCTGACCAATGATTCATGTTAAAATCTTGTCAAGACATTTTAAAAGGAAAAATTGGCCAAACTAATTTGTATAACTCTTATATACTCTATAAATACTCATATATAAATAGATCATGACTTTTCAAGTACAATTTAGTTTAAAATTCATATAAATTGCAAAAATCTAAATACTTAAGCTTAAAGACTTGAAATGACATGAAGCTCAAAGCAGATGACTTGGACGTATGAGCCAGTGACTCGAAACTTGACTTGGACTTGCCTGTATTTGACTTGGGACTTGACTTGAACTTGAGGTCAAAGACTTGAGGCTTACTTGAGACTTGTAAAACAACAACTTTGTTCCACCTCTGATAAGCTTAAATGAAAACCCTCAGATATGGGCCTATGAACAATTAGTATTTCAAGTTTGATAAGAAGATGCTTTAATTGCAATATCAAAACATTACAAAGTCCTCTGTGTTGGGATATTTGAAATATTAGTGACCAGTGCTGGATGCAGAGACAGAGGGAGGGAGAGAGAAAGCTGAGAGCAGAGAGAGCATGTCAGGTATAATTGGTGTAAGTGGGGCATCCAGTTTCAATGATGTCATGCTTTGCAACCACTGTCTGCAGTAACGCACTGTAAATGCTCTAATGCTACAGAACTATTCCCTGTGATGGCAGACGCGAGACACACCTTAACCAGTGACATAACTCGTCTCCAGCATGCTGTCAAAGTGATACTCATCCAATTATGTCAGAGGCTATAAAAGCAATAGGCCTTTGTTTATTTTATGGAGTAATCTAAGAAAGCCCGGGTGTATCTACGCACGCAATCACCCAACTATAGAGCTTTAAAATTATTGTAGCTTAGTCATGCATTGAGGCCTTCTCACATAACTCCTCCTACTGTCACTGACCTGGTAAACTCTACTAGGAACCTGTGGCTTTGCTCCAGGTCAAACTCAAATCCAATTTAGATGTCCAAGCACTGAAATTAGCCCCCGAGTGAAGTACCACTCATAGGTCTGCACTATTTGTAGTTATTGCATGACTGAAATGCATAACAAGGCATAAGGCAAATTCCAACAAGGTTTATAATTATTTTCAGAAGTACTTAAGTGCATGTATAGTTGTAACATGTGCTTACTGCTCTCAATCTAACCCATAAACAAAAAGTATTAACATCTCATTCTCAGTTTATTTGGACATGCCATACATTATTTGAAAGTTCAATATATACACACTTTATTGAGGACAGATGCTAAGAGTCCATGTGATCTGGCAACCCAAAGAGGGTGCTCATTCAGCTTTTTGATTAGAATAGGCTAAAGTAAATATTATGAGTAAATCACTGCATTAAACCTCCTTATTTATTCAATTGTAGGTGTTTTAATTGCTCAAAAACACCTTGAAAAACATGCATTGTTTCTACGAAGGGGTTTGACTCTTCACATATCTGTAATTTGGCCCAGTATTTGAGACAAGCAGGTGACATACTCTGCATAAGAAAAGTTACATAGTGCACCTTTAGTTATAGAATGGAGTTTAACGGTTTGCCCACACGAGGGCAGCACGTGTATTATTTTGAGAGCAAGAAATAAATAATAGGTCTGAGTTATGGTCTAGTGCACAACCACGTCAGGCATCGTTAGGACAACATAGACCGTAAAAAGGTGCGTCTCATTAGACAAGAGTCTCATTAGAAGTCTTTTTTCTTATTCTTTTGTTAAATTAACAGATATAAATTCAAGAGGAATGTTTTGTCTACGGGCTACTTAACATAATAACACAAAGATTCAATTATGTATTCGTTTTATAAAGTAGTATTAGGTTAATAGAGTAGCACTTGTATTAAGTAGGCTTATTGATTGCCCTCTCCTGGCGACTTGGTCTCATTACACTTGGATCTTGTTGATCTCTAGTTGACAAGGTTCAGCATGTTGACATTTCTTTGTATTGAATCCACAAAGGTGTGTGAGCAGCAATGTACACAAATACACGTCAATACATGTATCCTAAGTCTACTGTCTTCCACGTTGACCTAAGTTAAAGAGCAAAGGTCTCACTCAGTAAAAGTTTGTCACTAAGTCTAGCTGAATGTGAGTTATCTGTTTGTTTCAGTAAGTTACTAGGAAATTTGAGGCACTGTTTGTCCTACAGCCTACATCAGTAGTTCCCAACCTTTTTGTCTTATTGGGTCCCCTTTGTCTCACATACTCTTGAGTAACTTGGTACCAATTATGTAATCTGTGTACTGCCAACTATAACTGTTTTCTTCTTTTAATGATATTTGTGCCAGCAAAATCCGACTGAGACATTAAAGATGTAAAATATAGGACTACTCCAAAGAACATTTTATATTCAAATACTATTCTCTGCTATATAAGACCCATCCAAGTATCTCCTGGCAAGTGTGTGTACCCTCAGAAGTTTCCCTAATTCGGAAATCTTTTGTTCTCTTTTTCTTGACCAAATAACAAAATTATAACCTTAATTCTATACCCTACTCTGATCCTGCAATTCCAAATAAGGCCATGATATAACAGAGAAAACTTATTTCTCCAGGTGGACAATTACACAATGAACAGAATGTGGAGATATTGTTATAATGATGTCAACATTTCCTCATTGCTCCATCACTTGTTTAACATTGCTGAAATAGCTGATGACAAAGCAGCGGGCTGACCTCTGTGCGTCATTAGCTGTTTTTAGCAGTGTGTACCAAACCTCAGCCCACTTGGCCTTGGAAGTGCTTGTGTTCCTCTTCCTCCGGCCTGCGTCGCCCACTCTTTCTCTCCTGGATAACAGAATACAGCCGCTGCCTCCCACCCTCCTCTCTGCGCTCACCCAATGACCCAGTGGCGGGAAGCGGGGGCCCATCTGTGCTGTTGAAGAGGCTACTTTTATTCTCAGTGCCTATTTTCTAGTCACTATTGTTTAAATAAAACCCACATGGTCCAGGAATACTTCCACTATTTAGCCTCACAATGTGCGTCTTTCCTGATTACACAATATAGTGCCAGGAAAGGCAATGTCTGGCCACTGATAGGAATTGAGAAATAATACAAGTTTGGGTTACTGACAAAGAAATGTGTTAAATCAGTGGGCTTAACTGATATGAAATTAGATCATTAAGTTCATATGTAAAGGTTTGGTTGCATCTTGAGTAACACACTTAAGATAGCCTGTAGGTTTACTTGAACTTTAGGCTTATTTCTACTGTTGTATTGTGGTTTAACCTTTGGCATAATCATTAGTCTATTTCTTTATTTTTGTCAACATTTGTTATTTGTTTACTCTTATTTACCTTATTTATCTAGGACCTATAGGAACTTTTAATCATTTCAAATATTGTGTTTGTACTGTAACAAATCTCCTGTTTAACTGATCACATTGAGTTTTCTTTAATTTGCATTTCTTTGCAAGTTTCCAGGTCCATAATATCCAAGACTACCAACGAATGTGAGAATAATTTAATAGAAATTGAATAATTGACCTCCAGTAATAATTAGAAAAGGCAGCTTGCATTTCAAACCAGCGGTCGTACCAGTAATGAGCAGACAGGTGGGCTGACACTAAGACACAGACAGGTTAACATGAATGCTCACATTTATCACTACATTTGCATATTTTATGCAAGTTCATTGTGCCAATTTGGCTTCCTCCAAAAGAGAATGCTTTAAACAGCACTCTTAGGTCTCTTGAGATAATTACCTCTTTAACAGGGGATAAAAGTGAGCTAAGGCGCTGGTTTATCCTGATGCCTGATGTGTGAGTGAGTCACTGACCAAATGCATTATTTCTAAGATGCAATGTTTACATGAGCTTGGAAATATTATTGTGATTCACTCTCAATTTGTGAGAATCTTGACCATGACACTATTGCACTTTTACATTTAATTTATAGTTTGGTGATGGAGGAAAATCACTTTTCTTTGAATTCATGGGTTTCAGGATTAAAAAAAAAAAAATCTTTCCAGAACGGTCCCCCAATATACAGCATTAAAACAGTTCAAATAAAGTATTATAGGTGATAGAAGAAATGTCCTCACAAAAGCTCTTTTGATTAACAAAAGGTCACTTTAAATAGCCCATCCAAAGCTTAGGCATATTTATAGTTTTACTCTTTAGATTATATCAAAATGATTTTATCACCTCAGAAGCAAAGTAGATACATGCGTTTGTACTAAATGCTTACTGTAATACTTTCTTATCATTAACTTGCAAATCTTTACCCGACAGAGGGCAGCAGAGTGTTGTAGTGCTCCCATGTCCTCATCTCCAGTAGCTGTCTCCTCAACACCAGCACGAGGAAAGGCGCACGCAGCAG